TACACTTTTAACATGAAATAAATTTTAGTGGTGAGTGCCAAAGTGAAGCTCTAGAGGAAATGCAAAGTCTGTCTACACTTCTATAAGTAATCACCCTCCAAAACTTACGTTCAATCAATCCCAGCTTACAAAAATGACAACATAAAGAGGTATAAAGGGAATTTCTTTGACCATTTCGTTGATCATTTCCCTATGCTTCTTTTCTCTTCAAAGAATTATGTTTCAATAATTTGCAGCTATGGAAACAAAGCTATGTCCTTGGTATCTGTTAAGTACAGTGTGCCACAACTGTGCTCTTTGCTAGAAATACACCAATTAATAATGCTGAGATGCTTCCAGTCTGGCAAAAAACAAAACAAAACAAAACAAAAACACAGTTTCACAGTTTCATTGTGTTCTTACTATTATCTGGCTGTTTATTGGCACCAATAGTGCTTTCACTTTCAAATTCACTCTATATGTTTCATAGTGATTTTCCCAAGTCCTATTTGGTCAAAATGCCCATTCTTCCAAAGTATTAATAACAATCTCAGCCAGCAATTGGGAGAGCATTGAGTTTTTTCAGCAAAATAACATTAAGGTGTAAATGACTCACAGCCTAGATTTAAAGTATTAGTATCTGGAAGAGTATTTTAATTTATTTTTAATACAAAAGAATAAATCGCTAGAAAAAAGAATATTCAAATCTCAAACTGATCTGGAGAATTGTGGACAGGCATTATTTCACTCAGGGAATTTTAAACAGAAGAAGAAGATTTGGGGGACAGTTAATATGTCAATTTATTCCTAAAAGAAACTACTCATCAATTTGGTAGCCATCACATTACAAATTAACTCCAAAGCCAATTTTTAATAAGTGATTTAATCTACTTTTGGCATTGGAAATGTGGGGCTTATCTTCATACATACATGTACACTTAGTGATTGGAGACAACTGGTATTATAAGTACCCTATGACACAACCTTCCAAAGAGGAGGCTACAATAGAAGACCAAGGATTAGCAAAGTTTATATTCAATATGCAAACATTTAATAGCAAATTGGCACTAAAGAGTCAAACAATGGGTGCTGGTAAACAGGAGGAACTTACTCTCTGAAATTAACTTAGAAAACATATATCATATTAAGTATAAGAAAGTAGCTTCCCACATACACAACATAGAGCAAACATTTTATTAATCAATTTAACCATTGTTTTCTCATTTCCTCACTGTCTCGTTTGTTGTTTTTATGACAGTGATAGATGCTCATGTGGACTTCAAAAAATCATACCATTTTTCTTTCTACCACTGAATTTTCCATGTTGATTCAGTTCATCAATAATATAATCTTGTGATTTAAAGACAGATTTTTTAAATCTATGCAGTGATTTTCACTGCATATTATTTCTTCAAAGAATGTTGTTTATCATATATCATCGTATTTGTTTATCCAGTTCTAAAAATAATTTTAACTCACATTTATATCTGTGATTATAATGCTCATTTCTTGAACTTTTACATTACAGCCTTTCAGTTCTTGCATTTTTCACATGCTCACTTTACTGGTGTATGTATTTATGTATTGATTTCAAGTAGGTGACCTGAATTATTTGAGTCCCTAAAGTATGTATATATTTATCTGACTTTCCCTAAAAAATGACATTATGGCTGAGTGTACGTTCTTGACACCTCTATAATCTTTTCAAAAATATTGTGAATGGTATTCAACTGTCTTATGTCATTTAGTATTGTTTGAGTAAGTGTATAAGAAATCTAACATTTGTTCTACATCCGACAAACCTTTTTTTTTTTTTTTTTTTTTGCCAGCTGCAGAACAAAAGTTAGATTTTATTTTCAGGAAAAGTTTATAATGCATGTTGTCCACAGCATTATTTGGCCTATTTTCTTTCTTCTTTTATTACGAGAGATTTAGTCCCATCCATATTTTTGCCAAAAACAGGTTATGTGGTGGTCCTTGATCTTGTCCATCAAGCCCTTTTTCCCAAAGGATAACTGAAGAAGATCACATACATTCCAACTTACTGAGTCTGATAGGCATTCATCTGATGAGGTCCTCTTCAACTGAGGTAGAACCTTTTATTTCTCCCACTATTCTCACTATTATAACTGATAAAGTGCAGTAACTTTCATTTTTCATCATGTAAAGCGGCCATGGACCTTGATGTCTATGTTTATTGCCTAGAATATTGTATAAATGAAGTCAATAAATCACTTCCCCCCTCCACATCCACTCACTAGCATTCTTCCAATTCTTATCTCATTTGTTCTATGATGGAGAATGAAAAAATAATATATTGTGTGGGAAAGTGAGATGAGAGATACCTTAGTATATTAATATTCTCTGCTGTATAAAGTTATTCCAAAATATAGGGGCTTAAATAATAAAAAGTGTTTATCACCTCACGCAATTTATATTGCTCAGAAATTTGGGAAGGAGTTAGTTGGTTAGATCTTGCTCAGGATTTCTCAAGGTTTTATAGCCAAGTATTAGCAAGATATGCTGTCATTTTAAGGCTTGATGGGGCTGGAAGATTCAGCTCCAGGATTGTTCATTCACATGACTGGCAAGTCTGTACTTCCTGTGGGAAATATGCCATGATCCCTTGACATATGGATTGTTTCATAGATTTGCTGGGATATCCAGATCATAGTCTTGGTGTCCACAGGAGTGAGTGCTCCAAGAGGGAGCAAGATAAAAGTAGTAATAAAATGTCTTGAATGTTTTCAACGTGGAAGTCACGCGCTATAATGTTTACAATGTACTACTATAAGTTACATAGGCAAGGCCTATATTCAGTGAGGAAGAAACTGACTATACATGAATGTGACTATCAGGCTAAAGGAATCATTTGAAGCTTTAAAAAATATTTACAGATTTAGGAAGTACAAGTGTAGTTTTGTTACATGGACACATTATGTAGTGGCAAAGTCTGGGCTTTTAATATACCCATCATCTAAATAGTGAATATTGTACCCAATAGGTAATCATTCAACCCTCACCCTACTTCCACCCTTCCACCTTTTGGAGTCTTCAGTGTCTGTTACGCCCTTCTGTATGTTCACGTGGACCCGTTGTTAAGCTCCCACTTCTAAGCAGGAATTTGACTTTCTGTTTCTGAGCTATTTCACATAGAGAAATGGCCTCCAGCTCTATCCATGTTGCTGCAAAAGACATGATTTAATTCTCTTTTAGGGCTACATAGTATTCCATGGTGCATTTCTGTTTGTGTTTCATATTTTTTTTTAAATCCAATAATCTGTTGATGAACACGGGTTGATTCCATGACTTTCTATTGTGAATAGTACTGTGATAAATATTTGAGTGCAGGCATCTTTTTCATATGAGTTCTTTTCGATATTCAGTAATGGGATTGTTGGATCAAACACTAGTTTCTTTTCAGTTATTCGAGAAATCTCTATACTGTTTTCCAAACAGGTTGTATTAAGTTCCATCCCACCAACAGCATATGAGGGTTCCTTTTTCTCAGCATCTTTGTCAACACTGAGTTTTTAATAATAAACATTCTGAGTGGTGAGAGATGGCATCTTATTGTGGTTTAAATTTTCATGTCTCTGATGATTAGTAATGTGGAGCATTTTTTTCATGTTTGTTGGCAATTTACATGTATTCTATTGAGAAATGTTTGTTCATGTCCTTTATTCACTTTTTAATGAGGTTATTAGTGTTTTTCTTGTTTAGTTGTTTGAGTTTCTTGTAGATTCTGAATATTAGCCCTTGCTGGATGCACACAGTGAAAGAAAATGTCATCCTAATATTATCTGTGTATTTTGCTGATTATTTATTTTGCTGTGCAGAAACTTTTTAGTTTAATTAGGTCATATTTGTATATTTTTTGTTTTCTTGAATTTGCTATCGAGGACTTAGTCATAAATTTTTTGCCTAGGTCAACGTCCAGAAAAGTTTTTTTTTTTTCTCTGTGATTTTTATAGTTTTAGGTCTTATATTTAATTCTTCAGTCCATCTTGAGTTAATTTTTATATATGGTAAGAGATATTGATCCAGTTGAAGGCTGGCACCACACCTAAGTTCCCCACAAAAAGCCAAAACGGTAGAAATTTACTCTCTACTTTTACCTTTGGAGTGGGCCTTGCATTGCTAAGACTCAGAGCAAAGAGTGGCTAAAAGATTAAATTACCTTTTGGTTGACACCCTTAGCTTTTTACTTTTAGTCTTGTATCTGTGGCAGTGCTTATGACTTCACTGTTCGTGGGCTTATTGAGTATTTGGGCCTGGTTTCTTAAATGGATTGTGTTTAGTAACTATTTGGTTATGACTGTGATATTGCACATTCTAGATGTCAATGTTATGACTTTTCAAATTAATGTCTTTATATGTAATCTCAGAGAAATTGACCCAGTGATTATTTGTCATATGCTTTTATTTTCCTAATAAAAGTAAGCTTAATTTTGCTAACTTGTGTTATTCAATTATATGTAGAAAAATTAATTAATTAATATTAAGAATGTTATTGTTATTCAGACTGATGGGTGTTTCCAAACCTGACACACAAAGGAAAACTGATCACTATGTATATTTACTCACAATATTATTTTTGTTTTAATTGTTTTATACATATTTTCCATTAATTGTTTTTTAAAAATGTGCATTATAAAAGAACCTCTTCATAAAAAATGTAAATTCGAGGTGAATGGGCAAAATATATGTAATAAAAGAAAGACTATGCTAGTTGTCAAAGTATGAAAAGTTTGAGATGATACAATAATTAGATAAAACTTTTTTAAACTATAGAGAAAATGTTTTTTATAATTTGTTAATAAGTTAACTTATTTTTAACATTATATTATATTATGTTGAAAAAGAGTAGATTTAAAAGGTGTACTACAAGTCACTTTCATGAGTATTTTAAATAAAGTGGAAGGACTATACCTACATTTTACTTACTGACTTTGATGATATAATGTTTGATAACAGAAATTTTTAGCACTCTATGAATTATTGAACTATTTCATTTCCAGGACTGAAATGCTGTTTTTTTTCCCTGGTACAATATTAAAGCTTTAAACTCTTGTCAATGATGTGATGTTTCATCTGCAATGATCTACACTAGAAAAATAAAAATGTAGTTACTGACAAAAAAGCAGGTAAGAATTTTTTTTTTTTTTTTTTTTTACTGATTTATGGATATCCTACATTCATATATAATCTTGCTTGAATCCATGTAATTTTCTGGAAGAGTATTGAAAAAATACTAATTTTGTTCAGATAATTGACTATAAACCCACTTTCTATGTTTTATCCCCTAACGAAACATTAACTGAACTAGTACATATCTTTAGTAAATGATATGACCAGCATTAAGAAAAATCAAGAGGAAAATGTAAATAATTAAAATTACTAACGAAAGTACTAGCAGCTATTAGTTTAGTGCAAAAGTAAATGGTTTTTGCTATTACTTTTAATGACAAAAAGCACAATTACTTTAGCACCAACTGCATACATTGTTATTTTGATTAGAGTGTGATCTGCTTTATGCGATTCGTTTGCTAAAATTCAACTCCAGAAAATATGCACATTTGATATTTTTTAAAGTCTAACTATATTCCTCAGAAAGCTTTGAATCTATCTCTCTATTCATTTATATATTCATTTAAATATATTTGTACTTTCTTCTCATTCTGTTTTTCTACCCTAATTAAATTACCATACTTTTTAAACAGAAAATAATTGTTTCATAATATAAGATCACATAGTTGTTTTCAATAAGAAGTATTGTATTGTAAATCCAACTTGTAAACTCAATCATTGTGGAAATATCATTGTGGTACATCCAAATGGACAATTATTTAAAGACACTTCTATAGTTTTTAATAGAATTCAGTCATTAATCTTTCTCTAAATATGAAGCTATACTGTTACTTGAGAAAGACTGCCAACCCAAGCTGGTGGCTGAATAATTCATATATTATAAAACTGTGTCTCTTTGTTTTAATATATAGTGTTATGTCTTTTTAAGATATTCATTTTTCAAAGGTATTTACAAACCAAGTTACTCAAATACATGTTATCTTAAATTTCTATGTATAGGAGATGTGTTGCTATGTGTAATGATAATCACCAATATAATGCCAAGTTTTCATAAAATATATAAAGTTTTCAAGAATATTGGTGCATTTATAAAATCAGCAAAAGTTTTAATTTTGAAAACTACTCTTCTGGCTCAGGGACTCCAGGCTTTACATGCTAATTTTCACTGGTCCTGTACTATTTGTATAGATTTTAGGCATCATAAAGAATACATGGAAAGAGAGAAAGAAGTATGCATATGGCTCATATGCAACTTATAAAACGTTAATAATATAACCTTTCATATAACATTTGTTCTCTAAGCAATTTTGATATATAAGGATTAAAGTATAAAAGCATAAGGCGACTACTGGTAATACATAAGGCTGAAGAAATGCTAAAAAATATGATCAAACACATGCATTTTGTTATCACCTTCCCAGTTCTGGTAGGTTGCATTTCAGCAGGGGTGGTGGGGAAAATAGTCATATAAATTACCAATTAGTTTTTCAAGAAATTCTAGTGGCAGATTGGCAAGGAATTTTTTTATTCATCAGACAGAGAAAGCTTGAATTGTCCCTGGGTCAAATGGATATTGCCAAAGGAAATCAAACTTAAGTTGTTGAAAGTGCGCATCAAAAAAGGCTGCCTGGAGGGACAAGAGCAGCCTTGGAGAAAAAGGCTGAAGGTGTACTACCTGGGATGTGATTGATAAGTGGCTCACCAGTGGGAGCCCAGTTTGAATTGAACATAACAATGGTTCTTATAGCTGAAAATTCCCAAAAAGTCTTGGCATCTTTTTGATATGTCACCAAGTATCAAAGAACTAGATCACAGACTGAGTCAAAAGGCAGTGGCGAGGAAAAAACAAAACAAAAAAGACAAAGAAAAAAATTATCCCTATGCCTAAAAGTGCCAACTTTTTCAGAGAATTTGCATTTTGTATAATAAATAGTAGTAATCACACAACCAAAGAGGTATTCTACTTTTAAGACTGAATAATAGATAACCTATTTTTTTTTTTTTAACAAGGAGTTCTTCCTGATATCTTTTTAATCAGACTGTCAATTTCTCCAGGAAGTTTTTCTACTCTTTAGTACCATAGGCTCTGATAATGAGCCATACCAACTTGTTAACAATAAAGAAAACACATTGGAAATGAGTGTGGTTAGATTGTATCACCAATTTTCATGTTTTGATTTCTTTTGTTAAAAGAAAAACTTCAGCTGAATTAAAGTTAAAGGAGTTTAATTGAGCAAAGAACGATTCATGAATCAGACATCCCCCAGAATCACAGCAGATTCAGAGACTCTAGGGGTGCATCATGGTCAGAAAAAATTTATAGACAAAAAAGTAAAGTGATGTACAGAAATTGGAAGTGAGGTACAGGAATTACTGGAGTGGTTACAGGTTGGCGTTTGCCTTATTGGAACACAGTTTGAACACTCAACAGGATATGACTGGTTGAAATGTGGCTGCTGGGATTGGCCAAGACTCAGTTATCATTACAGGTAGTAGTCCTAGGTTAGGTTTTCAATTTTGTCTACCTATTAAGTTAGGTTCCAGTTTGTCAATAAGGACTTCTATATAGATGTATGAGATCCTTCTCAGGCCATATGTACTCTACTTTAGCAATTCCCCTCTTTTGGTCATTTTCTCAATTTTGAGAGATTGAACAAAACTCTTGTCATTGATGTCACTATCAATGCCGTAAGTATACTTATTTGGTCTTTAAGCCCACTGAGAAATAGTAGAGCAGTGAGTTTTGCAAAGGTAGGAACAATGACTTGAATAGAGGGTACCTCCTTATGTTGGAACATCCTGTTTAGAGGAGAAAAACAAAACCTGATCTGTTCTAGGCACAGTTAGCATGACCAACTTCATTTTAGTTTGATTTGGTCTGTTGGTGTCTAGTGCATGAGTTTAGTCTAAAACAATGGCTTCTCATAATTTTGTTTTAAAAATTCTCCCTTTTTGGTCAGGCTCTCACTTAGGTGAAAGTGTGACCACAACTTAGGGCCTTAGCATCATTTTCAGTTACCATCATTTTGAGTTTCCTGTCTCAGCACCTCATTCATAGGTTACAGTGTCCTCATGATTGTATACTTCTTTCAATTCTTGTCATTCAGGTAAAGACAGACCGTTTGACATTCTAGAGGTGGCTGAATGCAAACATTTAGAACCTCTGAGAAAATACAGTGCACCAGGGAAACTATTATTATTACTATTGGGAGGATAATACCAAGAGTTTGGAGTATGCTCCTTATTCAGACTCCCCATAAACCAAATCACCTAAAATTGAAAAGAGTAAAGAATGAGTTAGATAGGGAGTCTTTTTGTTAATATCCTACAGCTGAATCTCTATAATCTTCATTTAATGTAGTTCTTCATAGGCCACAGTGCCAGCCAGCTGCACAGTTAATTTTCTGTTCAACCAATTCAGTTACTTAGCATAACTTTCACAAGAAAATTTAAAGTCTGTTGTGTGACCATAGGCTTTACAGTAGAATCTGCTATAGAGCCTATCATAAGGGCTACATTTCTGGTTATTGCCTCTTTTACTCCAAACCATGGAAAAATGATGCCCTTCTAGAAGAGTAAAGGCCTTCTGGTAATATTCTCTTTAACCCTTGATGTGGGTAAGAATAGTAAATCAATGTTCTGTTTCTGACTGAATATGAAGAAAAGTATGTACCATTAAACTTTCTCACCTGAATTGGGCCTTCATCTTTTATCTATGTATAAGGTTGGCTACAAAATCCTTTACAAAAAAAAAAAAGTACATCTCATAAGTGCACAAAACAGACTCCCTTCTTATTTCCATTATTCATAGAGGCATAAACAAGAAAAAAAGTTCAAAGATAAGAGTCTCATGATAGTAGAGAAGTCTTGAACCATGACCTTGGGAAAAGCTGTTCACATCAAGGATGCAGTCTTCTTCTGGGAGAGACTTTCCTTTTAACTGGTCCTTAAGCAGTCCAATGGGTGTACAGTTTCAAGAGTGTGGAGGGACCCTTCTCAGTTGTGAGGTTATAAACCCAAAGTTCAAGTTTCAAGGTGTTGTTGCAGTAGGGATGGCAAAGCAATCTTTCTCTGATGTTTTCAGATGATCTAATCTTCAGGTTCTAGATTGTGAAGGGGTTGACTGTCCTCTGTGAACTGTAAAAAACTCATTTTCTTTACCTGGTGAAAATACACTGAAGCATAATAATTTACTGTTATAACATCAGCCCTCTTACATGGGGCAAGATCAGAATCTACCCCAATCAGAAAACACATAGAAAATGACCATTGAATGAAACTGCCTTATAAAATGTTTAAATGACTCATCAGGTAACTAAATGTACTTGAAGCTTTGATTGTTTTTCTTAAGAATATGGGTTTGACGAACCAAAAAATGGTTATAAACTATTTTAGCAATTTAAAAGTTACCATACCAATATATTTAATTTAGATTATTTTATCTTTTCCATAATGAGTCACGGAATGCAGGACTTTTAATAATAAAAGCTTTAACGGCTCAGGAAAGACAAGGCAGCTGTCCCGATTTTCCATGAGTCAATGTTTAACATAGGACTTATGTCCCCTTGAATACGTTATTTTTCCAATTTAGGTGCAAATAACTGGTAACTGGGGGGTCATCATAGGTAATATGACTTAGACCATGGAGTTCATTCAAATTGTATATCTAAAAATTTCAGTATTGTCTGATGTAGCAAAGTTTGGCAAACTATTTACTTGGTATTTAAATAATTGTCATTCTACTTGTGTTATCAGTTTTATAAACCAGTCAGTCTTTTTATTAAAGTTTCAGGAATTCTTACCCAGTCCAATTCTTGGGGAATTGGGGAATTCTTGGGAAATTCTTACACATGATATGATTTTATATTTATTAGAAACCTGTATTCAAGAGTGCTTTCTTAGTCCTTTCCATCCTTTAATGAACCTCCTAAAAGATACCATATTCTAGGATTTTATGTGCTTATGAAGTTTTTAGGAACTGCATCTGCATTAAGCAATTAATTGTGAAAATGACTTTAAATAGTTATAAAGACACAATAGACAAGGAGGTTTGGTT